ACTCTTTGTGGGATTGATCGTCGCCAAAGAGAAGGTCTTGGGATGTCAGGAACTTCATCAAATGGAGTTGCATACTCCGCGAACACAAATCCTCCGTGGTTTGATGGAACGGATTACACCGTTTGGAAGAAAAGGATGCGAATATATCTTCGTGGAGTTGATGGTGAATTGTGGGCAGTTGTGAGAAAAGGGCCAATCCCTATGGAAGATGAAGAAGACTGGAAAGAAGAGCAAAAAATCTCCTCTCAACTCGACTCCAGAGCAATGCATATACTATTCTCAGCACTGAGCCCTGAAGAAAGGAGTCAAGTGGCTCAATGCGAGTCTGCCAAGGAGATATGGGAGTCTCTTCAGACCACCCATGAAGGTACGTCTGAAGTTAAAGAAAGTAGAATAGATGTGCTGCTAAATGAATATGAATCGTTTGAAATGAGCTCAGGAGAATCAATCTCTAGTATGTACAAAAGATTCAATGAAAAAGAATTTGCTCTTGTCAGTAGGAAATTTCATCGAATGCTCAAAATGAAGAAGGACTTTCTGGCAAAAAGATCATTTCATGATTCCAGAGGTTTTAATAATCATTCTTATGACTACAAAAGAGATAGGGAGGGAACTGAGAGAGCCCCTACTAAAACAAATGAAAGATATGTACAAAATAGGAGTTATTTTGAAAAAACCTCTCCGAAATCTTATGATAGACCTTCTGAAGGTCGAGAAAGGTTTAGATTTGATAAGGAAGACGCTAAGTCTTCCAATGAGAGGGATTTAACAATATGTTTTAAGTGTGGTAAGCCAGGACATATGAGATCAAAATGTCCTACCAGCATCAAAATGAAGGAAAATGCACTTGTAGCATCATGGAGTAATTTCAGCTCAGAAGAGGAAGAAGAGGTAAAAAACCTAGCATACATGGCTTTTGCAACCAAAAGTGAGAGCGACAGCCAATCCTCAACCAGCCATGATCAGTAATCTCCCTAGGGATGGCAATGGGTCGGGTTGGGGCGGGTTTTGTCAAACCCAAACCCAAACCCATGGGTTTATCCGCAAAAAAAACCCGGGGTAAAACCCGTTGGGTTTGAAAAACTCAAACCCAACCCAACCCGCTGGGTATTCGCGGGTTCATGGGTACCCGTGGGTTTTTGTAGTAAAAATTTACAATAATAAGTTTCTTTCAAAATAAAAGTTTAACATCAATTTTCTCATACAAGTTAATCATACAAAAAACACCAATCTAGAGCATACAAGCAAACCGCAAATGATCAATACAAATTGTTCAAAATTAAAGATAAACATATATAAACAATAAGATTGATTGAAAGTTTCTTCCTCGTCAACTAAGTTTCTTCACTCTCCACTTCATAATATCAACTTCATTCTAAACAATCAGAAAGAACAAATTATACATGTCTCCACAAACATATAGAATATTAGTTATTTAACAAAGATATATTATTTAGAATATTAAATATACCGGGAAAGTAATTATATGTGTGTGAGCGGGTACCCATGGGGCGGGTTTACCTAAACCCAAACCCAACCCGACCCGGTGAATAGTGTAGCGGGTTTAAACCCGAACCTAGCCCAAAATCCGTCAACACGGGTTTTACCCGCATTGACCGGGTTGGGTCGGGTGGGTACCCGTGGGTTCGGGTTTTGTTGCCATCCCTAAATCTCCCTCATGCTACCAGGTAATCTCTGACTAAGAATCAGAAACAGAAAATAGAACTAAATCGAATACTGAATTTTTACATGAGCTAGCAAATCTTCAGGAGGAATGTAACAGACTCAAAAGTAAGTACTGCATGTTAATGACTGATAATCAGGCGCAAAAAGATGAAATTTTGACTTTAACCAAATCTTTAAATGTTCAAACAGAGTGGAATAAGGAACTAAATAAGCAGGTATTTGACCTCAAGGATGAAAATCAAAGGTTAAGAAATTTTTGCAAGATTAACTCAAGTCTAGTTAAGAAAGATCACATTATGCTCAATTCAAGTTCTGACATAAGAAAACACTATCAAAGAAGGTTTACTAAGCATCATCATGATAAATATGACAAATACTCAAGATATCCTGTAGTTTTCACATGCTCCTACTACCAAAGAAAAGGACATGTAAAAAGGTTCTGTTATGATTTAAATCCCAGAAAACTAGTTGTATCCAAAACATTTTGGGTACCAAAATGTGCTAACCTATGATTGAATGCAGAGTTTGGGAGAAAATGAAAACACATGGTTTCTGGACAGTGGTTGCTCCCACCACATGACAGGTAAAAAGGAGTTATTTTCTTCTTTAAGTTATAAAAAGGGTGGTAAAGTGGTATTTGGAGATGATCGTGTAGGAATAATTATGGGGAAAGGAACAATTGGTAAGAACCCTCTCCCCATTATCAATGATGTGCTGTTTGTTAAGGGTCTTAAGCACAATCTTCTCTCCTTTAGTCAATTATGTAATTCTGAAAACAGGGTTGTGTTTGAGTCATCCTCATGTGAAATTATCAGAATAAAGGACAACAAGCTGCTGTTTAGTGGAACTAAACGAAACAATATGTATGTAGTAAACCTGAACTGTCTAAAAACATTCAATGAGACTTGTTTTCAAGCTAATCATTATGATCTTGAGATGCTTTGGCATAGAAAACTTGGTCATATAAGTCTTTCTAAATTATCACAACTTTCCAGATCAAAATCTGCTCGTGGAATTCCTTAGTTAAAAGAAAATTCACATTTCTTCTGTGATTCATGTGTTGGAGGTAAATTAGTCAAAAAGAGTTTTAAATCTAAAAAAGATATAACCACTTCTGAACCATATGAGTTGATTCACATGGATCTTTTTGGACCAACCAATGTGGTCAGTCTAGGAGGTAAGTCTTATGCAATGGTTCTTGTCGATGACTTTTCTAGATATACATGGGTCTATCTTCTTGCATCAAAGGATGAAGCTTTCATCCACTTTAAAAATTTTGTGAATCTAATACTGAATGAATCCAAAAATGGCATCAAATCAATTAGAAGTGACAATGGAGGTGAGTTCATTTCAGAACATTTTAGTGATCTGTGTAATGATAGAGGAATAAATCACACTTTCTCAGCCCCTAGAACACCACAACAGAATGGTGTAGTTGAAAGAAAGAACAGAACTATAATTGAAACTGCAAGAACAATGTTACTAGAGTATGGTACTCCTAAGTTTCTCTGGGGGGAAGCAGTAATGACTGCTGTCTATGTAATAAATAGGGCATTAATCAGGAAAACTATTGACAAAACTCCCTATGAGATCTTAAAACAAAAAACACCTAACTTGGGGTATTTTCATCCCTTTGGATGCAAATGTTTTATACTAAACACCAAGGATCACCTATATAAGTTTGATTCAAAATCAGATCAAGGAATTTTCCTAGGTTACTCACTTAAAGGGCAGGCCTACCGAATCTACAATCTCAGGTCCAAAAGAGTTGAAGTGTCAGTATTTGTGAAATTTGATGAAACTGGAAGTACTGACAAAGTTTCTGTAGACAATATAGATCTTTTATTTCCAGTGTCAAATGAAAGGGAAATGTCTAAAGAACATGGTAAAGATCTTCCTCAAGAAACACCCAAGGAAAGGTGAAACAAGTGATGAGTTAAAAGTAGAAGAAGAAAAGAAAGCACCACCACACATCCAGAAGAGACAACCTTCTTCACAAATCATTGGACAACTCAATGCAGGCATTCATACCAGAGGTAAAAATCAACCAGGTCAGTACGCCTTCGTTTCTTTGTTAGAACCTAGAAATTACAAAGAAGCCTTATTAGATGATAAATGGTTGGATGCTATGCAAGAGGAACTTATACAGTTTGCTAGGTTACAAGTATGGGAACTTGTTCCTCGTCCTCTTAACAGACTAATTATTGGCAAAAAGTGGGTTTTTAGAAACAAAACAAATGAGGAAGGGGAAGTTACTAAAAATAAAGCCAGACTTGTGGCACAGGGGTATTTACAAGAAGAAGGAATAGATTTTGAGGAATCATTTGCTCCTGTTGCGCGAATTGTATCAATTAGAATGCTATGTGCCTATGCATGCTTCATGAAAATTCCCCTGTTTCAAATGGACGTAAAAAGTGCATTTTTAAATGGAGAACTAAAAGAAGAAGTATATGTGAGCCAACCACCTGGTTTTATTGACTACAAATACCATGACCATGTTTACAAACTGTCAAAAGCTTTGTATGGGCTAAAACAAGCTCCTAGAGCCTGGTATGAAAAATTGTCCTCATTCCTGAAATCAGAAGGTTTTAATCAAGGAAATGTTGACAAGACACTTTTTATCAAGAAAGAAAACACTGATACACTAATAGTACAAATTTATGTAGATGACATAGTCTTTGGATCAACTAATCCATCTATGAGCACTAAGTTTTGTGAAATGATGAAGTCTGAGTTTGAGATGAGTATGATGGGGGAATTATCTCTTTCTAAGGCTACAAATTAAGCAGTTAGACTCAGGAATTTTCATTAGTCAAACTAGTTACACTGAATCGATGCTTAAGAAATTTGACATGAATTCAGTCAATTCTAGCACAACTCCTATTGCTACTAACTTAAAACTAGACAAGGATGAGGGAGGTATTCCTATTACTCACAAAACCCTTGGCTAGTGAACGATTTCTACAACTCTGTACAAAATTAGGATTAAAATCCTTATGTCAGATTGAAAATCTTCCAAAGTAAACACCTTATTGGATTGCTATATTACATGCATTGGTGCAACAAGAAATGATTATAAACTTCTAAACCAAAAATAAAAAATGAACGAACTGATTGATTTTTTTTCTTTAGCACTTTTTGCGTGTCTTGGTTTAACCAAAATAAACGCTCCATTTCGGCTCATGCTTGCCTCGACTAACACATCCATATCTCTAGCTTAATCATTCACTTTAGAACTTTGCCTGCAGGAAACTCTTCAACTTCTCTTCTTCTCCTCTATATAAAGCACCTCTATCCATCCTCTCCTCTCACATTGCTCCACTCAAAATCTGTTTTATCCGAGAGAAAGCATAAACCATCTGTCCTTGAGCAATATGAGTGATCATCTTCCTCGCCCTTTCCGCTTTGATGGACTTGTCCACACATTCTCTGGATACATGTTCCATGAGCCTTAGGTAGTCAATCATCATCGCTATCTGCAGCACTTCGACAAGAGAAGGCTGCACCATATCACGCAACTCGACCCTTACGAGTTCAAGCTCTATAAATATGACATTGTGTCACTTATTGAGGGTCTCGGATGGGAATTCCTTCTTCGCCAGCCAGTGCATCTTGCCTGTCCTGTGCTGTCAAATACTTCTACTCTAATCTCAAAAGCCAAGGAATCAGTTCACGAAGCCTTACTACTTTGGTGTATGATCACCTCTTGACCATACCTGTCCATGCTATGAATGGGAACCTGGGATTCCCCTCTCAAGGCCTCGGCATTGCTCATCCCTCTGAATTCTGGAAACATGAATTCAAGGTTGAAGTGGAATATGGGAATTTCTCCACTGAGCCAACTGGAGGATCAGATGTCCCTATTCCAGTATCCTGGCTGCCTCCTCGGTTAAGGATATTTCATCACTTTCTTACTCATGTCATCTTCCCACGATCCTTCAATCAGGATCGAGTTCTTCCCATGGACTTATGGATAATTGCCAGTGCAACTGCACGACGCCAGCTGGACTATTCAAGCATAGTGTTTGGCCAACTTCGCCCTGTTGGAGATGAAAACTACAGAAGGATGGTGGCATTTGGGTCACTGATCACTCACTTACTGATCAACCTCGGGGTAGATCTTTCTGAGTTTCGAAGCGTTTCTTCTACCATGTACATCAGTGCACTTAATGTACTGATGGTGCTGGATCTTCCCACTAAAATCTCTCCTCCCCCTCGTCCTTCTACTTCTCTCCTCGGGCCTCCTCCTAAGCCCGCTGCTGTCAAAAGAACCAAGTCTGTGGGTGAACCCAGCGAGACTGAGGATCTGGTCTTCACCATCTCTGAAGGAGAGTCTTCCTTAGATGACTCTGCCGCTACTGCTCCTGCCTCTTAATTCTCTAGCTATCCTTTAGCTTTCTTTTCGTTCTGTTAGTAGGTTGTATTCCGTTAGTTAGGGGGAATCTTGTCCTTGCTCTATTCTGGGAATCTTGTTTAGGGGGGATTTTGCTTAGGACCTTGTCCTAACATTTTGTATTGCTGTTCTCTTCTGGGAAGGCATTCTGCTGTACTTCTTTTCTTAATCAATGAATTAGCATTTTCCCCCGAAATGCTTGTGCTGCTGTTTGTCTTGTGTTTTGTTTTGCAGAGACTTCTCGGATGAAGGGGGAAATTGTTGACCCTGAAACAGCGCAACATTTATCTAAACGGAGCATTCTTATTTCTCTGCCCATCTCGTTGCACTATGACACCGTTTCAGTTTATCATCCTTCGAAGTCAAGAAGAGGACTCCTCGATTGATGATCTTTTTGATCATCTCTCTCGGTCGTCTCCTTTCCAACGGAAGCTTCAGCTTTTCAACGCCTGCTCCACCTAGCACCGGCTCTATAAGGATGTATGATGAAAGGCTCCCATTTAGGCAACGGTCTCCTACTGCCAACAGTATAAATTGTAAGCTCTCCACTTATTTGAATCTTGTACTTCGATAGTGAATTGAGAGAGCTTCTGGGTTTGAAACTCTTCTGTTCTGGGTCGAAGAGTGTAATTGCTTCAGTAGATAGGATCACAGTGTATGAGAGTGTACTGGGTGATTCCAATCTTGGGAAGTAAGGGTATTGAGTGTCTGTTTTGTAAACCAAGTAACTTGGCTTGGCTAGGGTTCTTTGTGTTGTTCGACTTACATTTGCTAAATTAATAAAAGTTTCCTTTTTCCTCACAAGATATCATCTTAGAAAAAAAAAACAATTCAAATCTCTTGTTGAGTACATCTCACATTTTGACTTTACGCATATATCAACAAAAAATATCAAAATTGCGCACTTGTTCACTAAAGCTCACAGTTGGACATTGTGTTCCTTATTTTGTTCGACAAGATAGGAGTACTGTAGAAACTAGAATCTATACTCGCTAGTGTCAAGAACCAGTTGCTCCCAATAACTCAAGTTGTTGGGAGAAGGTTATGCTGGATCTTATACCACACTCTAACACGCCCCCTCAAATGAAAGCCAACCCACGGGCTTGAAGTTTGCACAGGCTCACAATACCTTGTGCTTTAATCAACTGTTAGTATTGGGGGTCGTGGAGATTCGAACACACGACCACTTGGTCAAACCAGGCTCTGATACCATGTCATGAACCAGTTGCTCCCAATAACTCGAGTTGTTGGGAGAAGATTATGCTGGATCTTATACCACACTCTAACAGCTAGCATGTGGAGAAAAGCTGAGTTATGCATGAATCATGATGATACTCATAGGAGCCTACCTCCAGCTTACTCTTACAACTACTTCCATAATGATGCTTGAAGAAGCTTATACAACATCGTTCTAATGCCCGTCCCTTACTCTTGCAATCTCCCTTCTGTTGGAAATTTGATGTGGATCAAAACCTTCCAAAACCATGCTTTGTGTAGGTGACGGTTTTGAAAGGATATGGCTTTTTAATTTAAAGCAAAAAGACTACATGTCCACTAATTCAAAACCAATTGATGTTTGTTTATGAAGAGAGGTGTCCATTAAATTCAAATAATGAGATTCATTTCCATGGAAATTCCAAGACATGTACTGCGAAACAAAGCAATGTCTCATGAAGAGACATGTCCTTTCATCCCAATATATATCCATTTCCATTGGGTTTCTTACAAACCATCACCTGTCACGGTGGTTAAGGGTGAAGCATTGTATTGCTTCAGAAGATGTGCTTGAGCAATATAAATAGAATGGGTCGGATGTGGGATGGCATACACCAAAAACTTGTTCTCTACTTCCTAGAGGTAACTTCTAAGTATGCTTTAGGTTCTTAAGCCTAGAACCAAAAGTGGTGATAGTTTTATCCTACAAAGAAATTTCATGTAACCCAAGGCTTTGTAGAGGGTGGAAATTTCTTTACAGAAAATGAACGTAGTTCACGATTCTATCATAATCCTAGTCACCCGATCTCGGGCTATCGTACATGTACCCTCATCCCAAAAGTTCCAACACCTTCGCCGTACAGTTTGGCCATGTCTGTGTTAGTTTGTATTTTTGTTGATAATATGCCATTAAGGCATTCTATACAGATCCCAGCAGTTAAAGTGAAATGGATTGATTCATTTTTTCATCTTCATATTCCTCCTCGGCAGTGGGCACTATGTTCGCAATCCATTTAAGTGTAACCACTAATTAACCGAAAATCGAAACCTGACCTTCAACTAAACTCCCTTTCTTAAACTGACTTTTCTTCTGGGCCAGGCGCCCTAAATATACTCGCTCCATCTCGTACCGAGCAACTTGCCAATTCCTCCATAAACCCTGCTCTCGAAGAAAACTGGGGAATCTATGTTATCCAAAAATTTTGATCAAGAAGAAATTTGATTTTATTTGTTACTACGGATTAGATAGTAAAGGATTGGATTGACGAATTCGAGAATTTGATTAAATGATTTGATGGATTGGTTGTGTGTTGGATTCATGGATCAAAGTGAAAGCTCAATTTTTATGAAAATTTTATGAACTAAATATTATCATAATTTTTTTGTACCACTATATAATTTTTTAAAACATTTTTCATTAAAGAAATGAATTTATATAAAAAATTGTAGAATATAAAATATATAGGTATCGAACTGTAATTTCTCAACAATTCATAAATACATCAATCCATTTGGATTAGTTGGATTTTTAGTGGATGGGGTAATGAGTTGAACTGGTGGATTGGATTGGATTGGATTCAAATTGTCATACCCTGCTCTCAAAGAAAAGTGGCAAAATTTATGTTATCAAATTTTTTTGATCAAGAATAAATTTATTTATATTTAATTCTATGGATTAAAAGTATTAAATGGATTGGATTGGTGGATTCGAGAATTTGATTAAATAGATTGATGAATTGGATTCGTGTTGGATTCATGGATCCAAATCACATCTAACCTTTATGACAAAATTTAGGAACAGAAATATTATCATAAAAATTTTAGGTACCAAAATATTTTTTTTTATGAATGGGCGAGCTTAAGTCTCTATCTATCGTTACAATTTCTTCATACAAACTAAAATGGTCTGCAATGAACATCAACCACAAATTCCGCATGACCATCCATCTTGGCAAGTAAAATCTTCTTCATACTATCCACTAACTCCTCATATTCCAACTCTTACCTCCATACAACCGCATGCACCGCTCACGCCATACCTCACTAACTATCAAACACCATAGGATCCTTCCCACATATAACAATGTTTTAATTTCCTCACAACCTCTATTCCAGAATGCCAATCAGCACAGAACTGGATATACCAATTGCCAAGATCGCCATACTATGTTCCAAACCTGCTTTACGTAGGCACACGAGATGAAGATGTGGTCTCTAGTCTCCACCTCATTCAAGCATAGGGGATAGCGATCACGAATATTATTATTCCACTTTTTAAACTTGTCTAACGTCGTTATTCTGAATCGGAAAATGTCGCCCTTAAAATTGCTAAATGTCGCCCTAACTTAAATGTAAAATTTCCTATATACCTTTAATGAAAATTTCAAAATTGAAACAACCAAACAACCCTTCCAAGCCCAACCCTTCCTTCCCCGCGGGAGTTTCCTTCCCCTCTACAACTTCCGGCGGCGCCGGCCAACCCCCCTTTGCAACTTCCTTCACCGCCGACCAACCCCTCCCCCTCTGCAACTTCCGCCTCCAACTCCTTCCCGCCGGCGCCCAGCACACAGAACACTCTCCTCGTAGTCGCCGCTCACTCCCGTCGTCGCCGCAAGCCACTCTCGTCGTCATCGTCCGTTAGTCCCGTCGTTGCTGCCGCTTTTCCACCCACGCACCAGTCCTCGCCAAAGAAGAAGGAACGCCCGACAACCCTCGACCGCAGTCCAATCGTGGTTAATCCGCTGGTCAACCGCGGTCAACAAGTGCTTTGTCCGACGGTCAACCGCGGTCAACGCACGGTTTGTCGGCCTGCTGACCGCAGTTGACAGTCTAAACAACCGCTCGTTGACCGCGGTTGATTTTTTTTTATATATTATGTTTTGTAATATTAACTATTATGTTTTGTAAATAATTATTTAAATATATGTTAAATTTTTAATTTAATTAGCTAATTACATAAATGAAAATTGATATTATACTTAATAATAATTTAATTATATAATATTGTCAATAATGATAACAAAATTTAAACCTTATTAAAATTTATTCGATAAATGTTAATAATGATAAAAAAAATTAAAGAGGATACGAAAAAAATAAAAAATGTATTTGTATAAGTTTAATAATCAAAATTTCAAATTAATTCATTTATATACTTAATTATTAATAATTGTAACTTACTTAATTAATTATTTACTTATATGTAAATAATTATTAATTGTTGCAAGAACATTACATAAATGTTAAAACTATTTGTTTTATGATTTTAATCGCCAAAATCTTAAATTAATTACTTTATGTACTTAATTATTAATAATTAGAACTTTTTTGAAGATGTCTAGACATGGAATGGGTAAACCGGAAATGATTAAGGCGAGAAATAAAGAGAGGATGGAAGGTCGTGAGTGTAGACTTACGACGATTGGTAGGAAAGAAAATGAAGAAAAAAATCCACCTAAGTTTAGGAGGAGGAAGTAGAAGGCGGAAGTAGTGCTTCCCGACGGACACCCTACTATGGGGCAGTTGTCTCTTAGTCGAGGTACTACTAATACTCCTACACCAGAGGATGCACCGACTTGGCAGGCTAATTGGAGTGATTCCATTGATGAGGATGATGATGATGATGATGATGATGATGATGATGATGATGATGATGACAGTGATGCTGGTGATGCTGAGGTTGGGGATGCCCCACCTCAACAAGATTTAAGCGTGGGGAAGATCGCGCAGAGCGGGCTATCTTCTACTGCCTCCTCACACTTTCATGGGCCCTATGGACGTTATGCGACCATACCTAGTAGCGAGGAAGGCGGAGATGGAAATAGGAAGAGGAAGACCACAAGGAAAGAGATGTCGTGGTTACTTACATCGGAGTCTGAAATGTGTTCAGGCGCACCAGTGATTCCCGATGTGATCCCTAGCTTTGGTGGTCACATAGGCCTTGTACTGTGGACTTCCCCTCAACAGGACCGTGGAGTGTTGAGCTGCTTCCATAGGTCGAAAGCTTAGGAGTTTTTGAGGCGATATAAGTTGAGTGCAGAGGGCTCAAAGGAGATAGTTTGAGCCACAAGATTGTCTCACTTGACAGGGTATATGATGCAGCATTTAGACATGGCTTTACTGTCGGAATTTGTGGAGAGGTGGCAGCCGAACACAAACACCTTCCACATGCCATTTGGAGAATATCGATCCTTCTACATGATGTGCAACACATTCTTCGTATTTTGGTTGATGGAGAGCTGATGTGAGATGAGGCTTTGCCAGATATTCACTACAAAAAAGGCAGACAGTTGTGACAAAAACTTACTGAGGACTTAGAAATTGCGTCGAAAAAGATGCATAATTCCGACAACCAACAGTTTTCGCCAGTATTATATGCATCACTACTGACAGAGTTAAATTTTCGTCAATAATTGTGTTTTTTCGTCATTAATATGAATTTTGGGAACGTTTCCATTTTCCACATTCATTATTTTTTACGATATCATTTTTCGCGTTGGAAATACTCAATATTACCGACCAATAAAAAATTGCAGTCAGAAAAAAGTGATTATTATTGACGACTAAGACACGATTGTCAAAAAATTGAATTAATTTTGACGACATAAATAGTTCGTCGGCACTAATTGGTTAGAAAAATTATTTTTGACACCATTAAAAGTTCGTAAGTACTATTTTGTCAGAAAAAAACACATTTTTTATGCCAAAAAGAGTTCGTCAGGACTGTTTGGTCAGGAAAAAATAATTTTTGATGTCATAGAAAGTTTGTCAGCAGTAATTGATAAAAAAAAAATTGTGGCACAATTAAACGTTCGTAAGTACTATTTGGTCAGAAAAAATTATTTTTGATGCAAAAAACAGTTCATCAGTAGTGTTTGGTCAGGAAAAAATCATTTTTGACGCCATAAACAGTTCGACAGTATTGTTTGGTTAAAAAAAATATTTGTTGTGACGGATTGAAAAGGCATAAAAAAATTGGTCATTACTGACTATATAACATAGTCATCGGTAAAACGTTGTCAGAAAAAATTGAATCCTTTCTTACAAAATTAATTATCGTCGATGCGTTTTTCTTCACAAGAAATGATTGGGAGGCAGTTATGAAAATCAGACATTTGTAAATATATCCCGATCCACAAGCATGATGATTGAATCGATAAAATAGCACATCTTTTTTAAGTAATTATAATAAGCACAACTTTATAAAAAATAGAAATTAGGTAATATATATCCCGATCTACGAACAAGACCAAATTAGTTCATCCTTCTTTTAACCAACGCCTTCGTGAGCGGTGTCGTACCATTCACACTGAAATAGTACAAATCGAAGCCCTTCAGTATAACGAAGCTCGATGATATCGGTAAGAACGTCATAGTAAGGAATTCCACCATCGTTCTCCCCTCTCACTATCACACCACTGTTCTGACTACTTTTAGTTAACTAGCGAGTACAAGTGTGAAATCTGAATCCATTGATACAATAGTCTGTGTAGTGCAAGACTCGTTTATCTGGCTCTCGAGCTAAGGATAACAAAGAAGGATTCAAACCTGACACTTTATCATTTTGCATTCGTGTAATCTGCAATAACTGCAAGGATGATATCAAAATTAATAATTGTATATGACATATATGTACGTCTAATAGGAACCACTTAACAAATTCTTGCTTATGCATTGCTTCAACCATACGAACACCTCGAGTACTTAGTTTGTTCCTTCTGAGTTTTGTAATTTACGTTGCACCATATATGTTATTAATTAAAATAAATTATATTCTAGCATACACTTAATTAAAAAATTGGTATGTATATACCTTATAAAATATTGCCTCATTTTGGATTGGATCAATTGAAATATTATATTCTTGGTAGGCTTCCTCTTCTCAATCTTCTTCTTCATTAGAAGGCATTTGAAACAAATTTCTTGGCCTTGTTTCCACCACGATTTCCCAATCGGGATCTCGCAAATATTGCACATAGTAAACTTGAATTAGTAGGGCGAGAACGAAGGCCTCATCAGTTCTAAACTTAAGTTTTGTGTTGATAGTAATAGTATCGTGCCTATCCTTCTTGTAATCAACACCTTCTCGAGCTGTGTCAAATTTAGTAGCTAATTAATACGGTAATTAAGTACCTTTGATAAGAACCACTTAGAAAATTCTTCCATATCCACTTGATAAAAGAATTTAAATCATTATAAATATCATGAGATTTAAGTTTTACCGTAGATAAACATATATTCGCAATATCTAAACATATAAAAGGAGTTGAGTTTATTTAAAGAAAAATTGTAAAATCGTACCGGAGGTTGTACTGGAAAAGTCAACTGTAGGGTATTTTATTACAAATTCTAGTTTAACCGTGTTTAAAATGTTTTGTACAACAAAATCCCTGTCAATTTAGCCTTGACATGAATTTTTTCGCTCGAATTGTCGGTACGATACGATTTTACAAACACTAATTTTAAACTTAACTAAAATTTAATTTCACTCCATTGAGTTATAATTTTGATACCCACGCACAACATCATCCATTTAAAATAATATTGAGTGACAACTGCTTTCACAAAATTATTAGTCTAAAAATTACTATAAGGCAATGTTAAGATACAGCCTTTGCCACGTCAGTCTATGCTGCAATGGCCGCACAGTTCGGAGGGGGTATTGTCAATCAAAAAATCTCTCTTTCTTGCTGTATTTCAACGAACATCTCACTCGCCTTCTCTTCCCCCTAAATCGGGAATCGAGACTCCCCCCAATCTTTTTGTCGCACGCACCGAATCCCAAATTGAAACCGTCGCCCTATCTGCTCATCACAAATCACCATAGCTACGATCAGATTTTTTGCTACACTTAATCTAAAATCCAAATCACCCATTGTCGCCATCACTGGACTTCTCCGGTCGCCGCTCTGTTTGTTGTCGTTTGCTCCTTTATCCCACTGTGGCTCTCTCTGCCCCATCCTGCACTTCTGCTGTCTCATCGGTACGCATGGATTCCGATGGTGTGCGGGTCATCGACAATGTGAATTGATTTTCCAAAATGAGAAATGAAAAACTGAAACTGAAACTAATTCCCCACCTCCCTGAACCCTTATTCTATTTATCTCCAATCAAATTGCGGCTGCAAATTCATACAAGGAGAAGGAAGTTGAGGAGGCAGATCCATGGATTCTCCCCGCAACGGGTGCTATTAGTCGCATCCCAACTCCATGAATTTGCCATCTATTATATGTTTTTGGAAGGAAAAAATTCTAAGTCAGGAGTAAAAAAATAGATGGAGAACAATCTGGATCTATAAAGCTGATAGAGTCTCACTCTCACAGAGATAGAGACTAAGAGAGAGAGAGAGAGGAGATTGAGGGGGAAGCAAGGAAAAAATTAGAAAATTTGTTTATGTAATTGTGTGCCGAGTTGGAGAGAGGGAGTGATTAGAAGAGAGATGGGGAGGAAAGAGATTGGTATCATGGGATGCTTTGGTTGTTGATATTATTATTATATTCATAAAATTGTTAAACTATAGCTTATACTATTATCAATTATATGAAATGGTTCTTTTATAGATTATGTAACTGTTGCATTGTTGAACAACCTCTTTTTGATTCAGATCATTATCCAAATCAATTTTGAGTTTGACACACTCAAAGCTAGAAGTCAAGTAGATGGATTCCCATTTTTTTAATTTTTTTTTTTCATTAAAATGCAAATGGCCACTAGAGAGAAAAAATTATACCAAAGTCTACAAAAGCCAAGAAATCCAATAGGACCCGGACACCCGATCAAGGCTGCAATACAATAATCAAAACCTAATTGGACTATGCTCCCAAAGAAAACAATAATAACTGAAATATCATCTCTGGATATGCTTGCTTAGCTGTGGCTTTGGAAAATTACATATACGAAATGTTTGAATACCGTTCATTATGCACAATTGGGAGTTAATTAATTTCTATTGAACTCGGTTATCGATTCTTAAAATTAGAATACGTACAGATCTTATACATTGATAAGATTGATATTCATTTTATTATGTTAATGTATTCTTTGATGTTAAAAAGTACATAACTCTCTTTTGTTATTGGCGTAGTTGCACTTGCAGGTCTCTTTTAAAAACTTGGCTTTGGTTTATGCCTAATGAAGTTGTTTTCGATTCTCAGAATTGATCGAAGGAAATGATAATTGCAAATTTTGGCTAAATAGTTGCTTGATTGTATTTGATTGCTTCTGTTGACAATTGTTATTTGTTGCTTTCAATCATAGGCTTATACCCCAATCTGTAGGATTAGGACACCAACTACAAGATGCAGCCCTGATATGATTATAGTTTGTATTTAGATTGGTTGGTTTAACTGTATTAGTGATAGTTTGATGGTTTCTCTTTCGTTGCACCTTAATTTGTTGTACATCATTAAGAAAACATACCTCTTTTCATATTTTGGAGGAAAAAAATATCTTCAATTTGGAAATCAACTTGCACCTGTAATTTTCTTATAAAGTTCATGTAGTTATACATTCAAGAAATGTAACTATTAGAAGGGTTCCTAGAGGGGTTTCAATGGGAATGAAACCAAGGCAAGAAAAAGACCCAAGAAAGGTCGGCAAATTATAGGAGTAAAGAACTTAAATGAAACAATGAAAACTGAGTTAGAGTTTAAACTCTTTAAAGTACACATCATCTCCAGAATATAAACAACGACATCTCTCAACACAGAATATGCTTTTTAGCTTCCATTGTCTGCAAATTTTTGTAGGTCCTGAATCCTGATGGTTACATTCATGATGATGGATTTATTAACATACTTGGAATGATATATATGTCCTGCATTCCATGTTTAATTTTTTTGCGTCTTTTACCCACCACACTACAAATGAGCTTTTAAGTCATTTTGGATGATTAAATAAAATTAGGGTGCAATTCATAGATAATTATGTTGAATTATTAATAATTTGGCCAGCAGGTCGGATACTAAACTAGAAATTTAGTTAACCAGAAATCATTAACTAAAAATTATGCTACCTAATTCTTCCTCTATTCAGCAGGTTACCCATCCAAAAAAAAATTCCTCTATTCTTCAGAGTTTTATACGATACCGGCCAACAGGCCGGGCCCAATGCTAATATTGAGTAAAAATGAATGAAACGGCCGGGAAATCAAAATTAACGAAAAAGGGAAAAAGAAGGCAAAATAGTAGTAGGCCACGCAAGAAATAATGGTTGGGAGTAGGGGTGGATTTTCGGTTATTTCGGTTATAACCGGTAATCGAACGGTCGGTTATCGGTTAACCTAAAGGCCGGCCTCCCTCCAACCAACAACCGACCGAAATAGGTTTCGGTTATCTCGGTTATCGATTAACCGCACCTCCTCCAGGACCAAAACCATCTCGTCCATCCTCCGATAATCGATCGAATTTCGGTTATATCGGTTACCGGT